GTCTCATATTATTTGTTATATTTTTATTATTCATTATTTTCACTTGACTCGCATAAATAATTTTGTTTGAAGAACATTTATATGCAGTTGTACTTCGCAGCACTTCACTTGCAATTTGCAATTTCTAGTACTACTCAAATAGATTCATTGAAAAACTAACACAAAAGAAAATTTAAATATGACTACTGTTTTTGAGTCCTAATTTAAGATCTCAAAATTAATGACTAGCTGTACTCTATAGCATATATTAGCAACCATATTAACCTTGTAGCCAAGCTTTTGCTATCTATAGCATATATTAGCAACCATATTAACCTTGTAGCCAAGCTTTTGCTATCTTGGTAGGTGGTGCTTTCCTACAGTAGGCCCTCAGATAACATAAAATGGAACGATAATTACCGTAACTTAAAATCAATTTATTATACTGTAGTTGGTAAATCATACAGTAAACTCGATGAGATTATTTCACTTAAGTAAGATTATTGCATACAAAAATTGCCTTTTGGAACTTAACATGTTGACTGCCAAGACTTTTTTCCTGGTTTGATACCATGCACCACTTAGGCAGGGCGCCACCATAATGAAAATCATTCCCATCTAATGTAATGAGACATAAACAAACATACGGTACTTATTTTAGATTGTTACTTCCGGATCCTTCCCTTGACCTCCAGCGAGTTCACATGCAATACAATAACGGTATGCTTTAGACAGGTGTGGTCGTGAACTCGCTTCTTCAGCGCTCGGAATGAACCCTATTGGACGTGAACTCGCGTCCCTGGTAGCGAAAGTGTTAACATAACCTCGGAGCAATTTTTGCATGCATTAATCTAACCTTCGTGCATTAATTTCAATCAACTGTAGCGTCACAACAACAATAATTGCTTAATTGCTAATTAGGTCTGAATTAGATCTAAGTATTCATGAAGAAAATCATTTAGCAGCATAGCCCTGCTACTACAAAGCCACATCAAACAATATATTGACAATGTAACTCAAATATTTTATTGCATACTGTAGACAGTGGGTAAAATAATAAATCATTGGAAGTAGAGGTAAGGGTACTGCATGACAATATATTGATATTTTGTCTTTGAGAGGTCATAGACAATTAAACTTGGAAGTTCAAAATGTAGGTTTAGTTTTTATAGCCCTCATATGACATGATTTTACAATTGCCCAGACAGAACAGTGTTCAGTTAACCAAATATCAAGAGAAAAACAAATTGATAATGACGACAAAAGACAACTGTGTACAACAAAGTGTTTGGAAATTTAATGAGGAAAAAACAACATTAGGATAATTTGAAATAATGAGAAAAAACAACATTAGGATAATTAACTGCGAAAGTGGTTTGGCACAACCGAAATGGTTTGGTTTCCCAACCTTGAGGTCGTGGTTTCAGTCCCTTGCTGTGCATTTCGCTTATGTCCTTGAGCAAGGCACTTTATCTGCATTGCTTCTGTCCACCCAGGAGTATAAATTGGGTACCTAAGGAGGTTCGAGTGCAAAATGCACTGATAAATTTCATGCAGCAAGCACTGGAATTTCCCCCCATAGGCATCGTTCCAATGACTAGGGTAATAATGTGGAAAACCACTCTTGATTGATATCACTTTTACAAAGACATCCCAATAAAGTTTATTTACTTCTGTCAGCTTAACTTGAAAGACTACCCTATGGACCTGTAGACTAAACATTGAATGCATTGGTTGGTTATGTATCTAGACATACACAAAGTGATATTTCACCCTTTTTCAGAATTAAATTAATTTAAATTAAATTAAATAAACCTATTGGGTTTTTTTTATGAAACTCCTATTTTCCTATTTACTGTGTGTACAATTATAGTAATTTTATGGAAAAGCAATAAAAAAATTGCTTCCTTCCTTCCTTCCTACATTAGTTTGTTCATTTCTTCACTCACTCACTCACGTATTCATTCATTTGTTTACTTATTCATTCATTCATTCTTTCTGTCAATTCATTGTACTCACTTGATTCATATCCATTACTCATGAAATTAACCCCTTAAGACAACTAAATTCAACCATTCATTCATTATATTGAAGTGTTTGAAGAAATATGTTTTATTTATGAAAATATTTTATATTTTTTTCAGGAATTATCTGAACTATGTTACAGAAGAGCTAAAAGATCCAGAAAAGTAAGATTATTATTGTTTATCATTACCATAGTTACAGTACCATAGTTACAAAATATAACAATGATGTGATAGAATTGTAGGTCAGTTCAGTGAATATGACATCCTTTGTGCAGGGTATATGAAGACATAGCACTTGAACTTGCTCTCCCAAGGGCAGGTGTCATGAAGCCAGGTGTCCTGAAGTATCCCCTTTTGAGGAAAGCTAGTCTGTTACATTGTATAATGTCTGTACTTGAATGTAAAGTTTTATATTTTCTTTATAATGTGTTAATAAATGTGAAATTATTTTTTATAAAAAGGATTGGGATGTAGTGATGATGATGACAACGACGACCATCATACAATTAATGCACAAAATCCCAATTTCAGATTTTCATGAAATTAACACTAAAATCGGTTTACTCAACTTACTGTACATCAAGAAAGAATTTCGGATTAGGCTCCTGGAGACTCGCAGTGCTCCATGTTGTGACAGCTACCATTGTCACTACTAAGGGAGACAATCAACCTTTTTAGGTTGTCAATCAATCTTTGTATTGTAGATTGTCAATCAAACTTTCTAGATTGTCAATCAACCTCAACTGACCAATCAGTACATGGCCAGGAATCTGCACATATCTGTCTCATCATCATCATCATCATCATCAGTTACTGTTCTTGCTTTTGTTGCATGAACGGGCTTTACAGCCCATACTGTTGCCTCTGGTTTGTCATGATCTCCGACCAGACGCCCCGATCCATTGTTTTTTGTTTTGCCTCATTATAGTTGAGTCTTCTTTTAATTGCTTTCTTATTTTTGACATCCAAGTCAGCCTTTGTCCTCCTTTTTTTCTTTTTTAAATGTCGTTCCGCTTCCAACGTCGCGAGTTTAGCTCTTGCATCTTCAATTCCTCGATTTCCTGTTGGTTTGAGGCATAATATATTAGATCGTGAGTACCAATAAAAGACATTACAAAACCAGAATAGGCAAATAGGACTTAAAACCTCTTGTAGAGGTCTGCACACCTTCACTGCACAGTACCATTGTCCCATAAACGCATGTGTATATGCATGTACATTTTTTGGAGCCTTAGCATCAATTTTTAAGGTGTGGGACTTTAGCGGACAGGTCCATTTTTTACAGCTTTTAAATAGTGTATTGAGTTGTTTTTCGTGTGATCATGTAGTTGTGCTCACAGACCAACAGAAACATCCATTTTGAAGGACAAGGTAATCAAAGCAAACTGTAAAAACCTTTTTTTTTAGGGTTTGGTCAATTTTTGTTTTTTACTGGAGTTTTTAAAAGTAGATGAAATTATTATTTTTATTGACACATTTTTTTGTCGTGTAGTCCAGCGTTCTGAAAACTTTTTGCCAACCGCATTGTGTTGTCATGTAATTCTGCGATTTTTCTTACTTCATGACCTACTTGAGATTATGGGTACCAAACCTCTGTCCAGCCACGCCAGGGACCAACATACCAAAACCTGGCAAGAAGATCATGAAAATTACCTCCTTGCTGTATTGAAGCAGTTTTACAAAAATAAATCTTTCATGTTTTCCTTGGTGACTGCATGGTCCCCCTCCTCCTCTTACAAACCAAATAGTGTTTTGTTCCAAAAGCTTTTACATGCCAAAAATTCCGTATAAATTTTTATATGTTTACTGAATTACTGTTAATTTTACTTGTTCTGTGTCAGTTGTTTAACTGTTTATTACCAATTTAATTCAATCAATCAATCGAGAGAAATTCTGAGAAAATACTAAAACAAATGTCACAATGTAAAGCCATTGGATTAACAACAAACAGCTGCATTCATCTTGCACTTAGCTCACTTAACATTTCAGAAGTGATCTGTGATTTTCACTTCCCCTGTTGCATTGTCTAAAATTATCTCCACAAGTTCCTCAGTCACTCTCCCTCTCTTTCCAGCCAGCAAACATAAAAACATCTACTATAGTAGCATTAGGAAGTTCATGGTGGAAGAATCAGTTAAACTCTTTTTCCAAAGAATGGACTAATATTTTAATATACAAACCATTTTACCCCTTCCCTTTCCAAACAATGCAGTATTATTTCTATCTAGGAATATTTAGCTTCAGGGAGCTTTAAGGCCTAAGGCTTTAAGGAGCTTCAACGATAACGATAAAGCTAAATAGCGATTGTTCATATAGAAAACAAAAGAAATAAAAGAAGTTTTTACACTAGGATGATTCGATAACGATTTATCGTGTATACAAAAACAAAATATTTTAACAAATCAAATCAGATGACGTCATAATCATGGAAAAAGGATAAAATCGTTGCTACTACTACGATATTAATGTTTTTCCATGATTATGACGTCAACTGATTTGATTTGTCAAAATATGTTGTTATCACATAACTGATAGATCGTTATCGAATTGTTCTAGTGTAGAAACTTCTATTTCTTTTATTTTCTATGTGAACAATTGCTTTTTAGCTTTTTTATCGTTATCGTTGAAGTATAAACAGGCCTTTACCCTCTGATCACTATCTCAGCCTCTGAAATCCACCAGGGTGCCTAGATACACCTCTATACATCTGGCTCTATTAACAGGAAACCCCTTAAAATCCTGGTTATGGGCCTGTGTAAAATGCATAGGGTATTTGCTCTGTGGTGGCTTCAGAAATTTGCTGACAGAAATCCACAAAGTCCGAAAATGGGGTCTGCCCTGAGCCTCGGACTGGATCCGAGAACAAAATCCCTGGTGGTTCATGGGAAGAGATCTTGTTTTATTAAGACCCAAAATTGAGCTTTTTGACCACAACATTAGAGATTGGCAATCAAAATTAACTTTGTATTTTGGCAAGTTAATATAACATTGTCATGGTATTCAATGGGGAACATTTTTCCTTACCCCTCTTTTTCTGCTGTTTCCCCCACTGTATGCATAGATTTCATACCAATAACAAAATGTATTATTATTATTATTATTATTATTATTATTATTATTATTATTATTATTATCATTATTATTATTGTTATTATTATTATCATTATTATTATTATCATTATTATTATTGTTATTATTATTATTATTATTAATCATTACTATTGTTATTATTTATTATTATTAAGACATTTTTTTTTTTTTTAGAAATCTGCCACGTGCCATCATATTATCTGTGCCTGTAGTTATCATCATCTACGTCCTCGCAAACATTGCCTATTTTACAGCAATGTCGCCAGAAGAGCTGCTGTTATCCAATGCAGTGGCTGTGGTAAGTAGGCCTGCCATATGGACATGTGGGACAAGGATTATGAGATTAACCATATCATTCAGTAGGATATTTGAAATCAAAGGCTAATCATGAATAAACAGTGAATAAATAGTCATTTGAATGATATTAATAAATATTTTAGAAAATCGTATGTCCTTGTTGAGATTCAAATTCAAGACATGAGGTATCAATGATAGTGCTGCCCCATACCAAAGTGACTGTCAAGTCGTCAAAATGTGGAATTATATGTACTATTATAGTTTCTTGTGTATAAGCCCATCCAAATTCGCCTATTCTATTTTTGGAGTTAGTTTCCATGCAAAATCATGTATCCCTTGTATAAGCCCATTTCTTACCACTGAGGCTCAATACATGGTTTACCAAGAGCTCTCTATGCCTTCTTTATGAAGTCTAGCTACCAATGCTTGATGCCATATAACACCTATCCAACCAGGCTCCATGTTTTTTGCATTTTTCGGTCTTTGTTTGTATATTAGCCCATCTTCCAACCTTTATCTGAATTTTGTTTCACTGTGGCAGGCTTAAGCTTGAGAAACTACTGTGGTTTCTTATAAAATTATATTGCTGTTTATGTACACAGTAATGTGTGTTAATGTACAAAACATATTTTCTGTATATAACAATAACGTATTTTTATTGCCTGTTGCTAATCCTTCTTTGTGTCTGTTAATAGAAGTATTATAATACAACTGCTTTTGGGCCTCCCCCTCATTTACTGTACCGTACAAAGCTTGCTAGCAAAACCTGGTTTTTCAATAAATAATTGTTAGCCAAAGCTGGTACCTGCAACTTTGATTACCATACTATTCTTCAACGACGGCGCCCAAATGTACTTATTGTTGTAACAATATGCTCATGGTTGATTTTTTTTTTTTAGCATTAGAAGGTTTTATTTGAATAGTGAATAGTTTGGTGTTGTCTATTTATAGAATTGATATGTGTCGGGTCTTCTTTTACCACTTTAAAAGCAATCAGGCAGTTGTATGCTTGACATTTATTCTATATATTCATCAATAATTTTTATTTTATATATTTTTCATTCATGTATTAAATTTTTTAATGTTATTTTTTAGACCAAATAAAATTAATTGTTAGTTTCATGTCCAAGATGAAATTATTTTTGTTGTTGTATTATCCTACTATTAGTGGTAACTGGTATAAAAAAAAATGTTTTCATATTAAAAAGAAGTAAATTAAATTGTGGTAATGCATTCGTTTTCATCTACTGTATGCTTACACCTCTTCTTTGACTTTGACAACAATCTCTTTAGATCATTATTATTTTTATTTTCTATGGAAAAATTAATTGTATTTTTTTTTTTTTTAAGTAGCAAATAGTCTATTTTTCATGAGGCTCCAAAATTTGATGAGAGCAAAGACATGAAAATAGTAATAATAATAATAATAATAATAATAATAATAATAATAATAATAACGATTTTTAAAGCGCAAACATCACCACCAAAAATTGGTGCTCAAGGCGCAGTGTCAAAACAACAGGTAGAGAACAAACAAATCACAAATAACAAAGTGTAAACAAGTTAATTATTTTTATTTATTTTTTTTATTTTATTATTGACAATTAAGCAGCACAGGAAATCAAAAAGTAAACCAACCTTTTCATTTTCTCAAAGTAATACCAATAGCAATAAAAAATTGTTGGCGTTATACTGTAGACCTACAAAAATACTTAATTTTGTTAATATATTATGAAAAAAAAAAATTAATTTTGTTAATATATTATGAAAAAAAAAAATACTGTATGTACAGGGTATGCACTTGTGTTTTTGCCAAAGTGGTGAAAGCAGTTATGAATGACTGTCGCCTTCAGGCATATCATATCAACGTCTTAATTTTTTATAGGTTCAAAAATCCTATTCGCAATTGTAAATATACAGTAATTCTTCTTTCAGTAAATTGTAAGATATGTTACAAGGGCAAATAATATTTACAACATGTGTTACATCACTTGTTTTACATATTTAAGCCTTTAGGCGAAACTTTTTTTTATACCTTGTTTAGTGAACCTGTCACCTGCCAATAATGATGATTTTGAATAAATATAAAATTTTATTTTGGGCCAATTAGCACACCCACTGCCACGAAAAAATGGAAGTTTCAGAAAAAAATAAAAGTTTTCTTTATTTTATTACGCCCACTGCTGCCTTGAAGTCTGCAAAAAGAATATGTATATTTCTTCCTAGTTATAGAAATTTAAGGCATTGTATCATCTCATCACTACTCTGTTTACATTCACAAATAACATTTTATTTTTATTTTCTACTCCATCTGGATGTTTTTGGCAAAATATTTGCTAAATAAAGTAAACACAATTTTTTTTTTTATCTACCCTCCTCTTACGATCCTTAAAAAATAAGTTCGCGAAACAAGGAATTAAAAAAAGGTCTTGCCTTAATATTATAATCTAGTTATTAGGGCCTATGTTTAAAATACTTTTATTAACTTTCAAAGCAATCCATTTAAGCTTTCCCCATACCTTTGCTACAATTCTTCCTTGTTACCGTCCATCTCGTCACCTTCATTCCTCCTCCCAAAACCTCCTCTTTTTTCCATAATACTATAAGACCTACGGGTTTAGCACCTTTACATCCGCTGCTGCTTGTCTCTGGAACAATCTACCTTTTTCAGTGAGATCATCCTATTCTATCTCTGCATTTTAAAGTTAAATCTTCCCTGAAAACTCACTGCGCCTTTGATCATTTCTTTGGAATTGGCACGCTACTAAATTTGTATTATATTATTGTTATTATTGTTGTTATTATTATTATTATTATTATTATTATTATTATTATTGTTATTATTATTGTTATTATTATTGTTATTATTATTGTTATTATTATTATTATTATTATTATTATTATTATTATTATTTCACTAAATCAGACTTAAGGGGAATATCATTTATGTTATTTTCCCCTTAACCTTGTTTTTTTTTATATCTTTATTTGTTCTCTAATTTCTCCATTGTTTAATTTCCTCTTATGGTAGGTTTTAGTAATATTATTATTATTATTATTATTATTATTATTATTATTATTATTATTATTATTATTATTATTATTGTTATTATTATTATTATTAATATTTTTTTTGTTATTATTATTATTATTATTTTATCCATTTTTTGGTTTGTCATTCATTTTAAAATTTTCAATTGAAGTTGAAATTATCGTAATTGTTTGCAAATAAAGCATAATCCAAAACATGTAAACATGCAAAAAAAATTATCCTAATCATAAAATGTCAAGGATTGAAGATGAGCTAATCCCAAAAAAAAGGTCAAAGGGATTTCATAATGCTGATTCGGAGAAATTACAATTTGAGATAATGCCACCTTGAATAAAAATATAACCATAGTACGTGTTCATTCACTATTACAAAGTGTGTAGGCCTCCTGCTTATTATTAACTCTTTCAGTTGGGCTTAACATCTGTAATTAATAACATTTCTATTGCACTCCTTTTTAGTATATTTGAAGATGTATTTGTCCAATGAAAATATCAAAAAAGCATAAAAAAAACAATTTTGAAATTAACTTCGTTTTGCAGTATACAAATTATTTACTTAAGCATAAAAATCATTCATTATATTGGATTACAATAAAAAAAAAAAAAACACTTCCAGTGATTGGAAAATATAAAGACAGACAATAGATTGTTGAACTTTCCTAATGGAGTGAATAGATATAAATAAAATATTTAATTTAATTTAAGTTTTTAACGTGTATGTAAAATACTACAGTAATGTTATTAGATTAATATAATTTTGGAATTTCTACATTGCAAATAAATTATTATAGATTCAGTTTTATTTTTTTGAAAATACATTTTTAGTGTTAAATACTGTTCAATTTTAAATGACAAAATTATTTTTCATATGGTCCACCAATGTTTTTTTTATACATACAAATAAATAGTTAGATGAAATATATTATGATTATATATGTTCATGCTTGATTTCATTCTCATATTTTCTCAATTGAACTTTAATGCATAAATGAGGCCTAAAATGCAATTTTTAGTGCTCTTTGGAATGTATGCCGTATTTACAGAAATAGGTGAGGCAGGATATATATTGAGCCCGCCTACGAATCAAGTAGGCCAGGCAATTAGAGATTAGTATTTAAACAAACTTATTTGAAGTCAATGTGCAAAATATATCCTGCACTTAATTTGAGCTTAAGGCTTTTCTGGAACCCATTTGAGCGGGCCTAGGAAAATCTCTTTCGTGCCTTCAAAAATTATATTGATTAAAAAGGTAGCACAACAGTGGTTTTTGTTTTTTGTTTATTTTTTTTGAGCAGAGAGGAGTTGAGGGCAATTGTTATCCATGGATTTCCCAGTGAAACTTGCTATGCCTTCAGTACAGTACAGCCCAAATAAATGCCAAATAAACCAGATCATTGTCTCAGCTCTGTTATCGAAATCGACTGGTTAATTTAAAGATTTGGATGCAACCTGCCCAAGTCATTGATTAATTAACCAAAAGCAACTGTTCAATGATGGTCATCATACTCAAGTGCAGTTTATCACACATCGTGTTTTTGCAGGCTGGTTTTCGTTGAAATGAAATGAACGGTATGTCTATTCCATACGGACAGCAACTGCCCAATATTGTTTGTCTTTTGTCATCTACAGTAATAATATGCGTGTACCATGCGTACTTAAGCTCAAGATTAACCAGAAATCTTTTGATGATACTAAAATCAATAATGTAGTTTGGTTTGTTAATGAAGCATTTTGGATTGCATGTGACTAAACTGTCCTCTATATATTTTTAAAATAGAGAGGCCAAATTGAATTAAAACAATGTTTCTCGTCCATTCCACATTATTTTAAGGCAAAATGTGTGTGTACATGCAGGTATGACAGGTCGCAGGGGGTGTATCTGGGCATTTTTTTTTTAACCAAGAAGAGTCTTCTAAAAATGTATTGAAGGCACTATCCAAAATGTATCTTCCTTGTAAAGAATTCAACAATAATGAAATATTAGGTGATATTTATTTATTAATATTATTTAGTGTATTGTATAATATTAATGAACAATGTGTAATTTCCCAGGGGCGGATCCAGAGATATCCGAAAGTGGGGCCAATAGTGATAACACCAGGGGTGGGGGGGCGCAGAATTTTGTTGTTTGGATGCCCTAAAACAATCTCTGAGGCGTTTTGGGAAATCGTTTTTTTTTTCTTTTCTATTTTCACTTCTGTTTCCAGCTTGTATCATCATAGCTATATGGCACGATTCGTATTCATAGCAGAGCACTACTATAGCATGTTACACATTGTTGTATTTTTACGTGTTATCCAAGTTAGCTTCGGTCGTGTAAAGTCAACCGGAACGTTTTTTAATTGCAATTCATTTAGATTTGGCAAATTGTGGCTGCATTAATTGCCTTCAAGATGCAATATCATTAAGTTCAAGGATTTTCCACATGATTAGTAAACTCTTTTCTCTGATAATGAGACTTGTTTACGTTAAAGATTACTGTATGACACAAGATTAGAAAATTGAAAAATTCAATTCCATAATTATTGGAATTGATTGTATACTTAAGCAGGTCCTGTGCAATTCTCATCCAGGACATACCAGCAAATCCTACAATTTCATCTCTCCATCTGGTTTTGTGTCATCCCCGACCTTGAGTACCACTGTTCTTTTAACTTCTTGTAAAATATCTAGAACTCTTATTTGTTCTCTAATCCATTTTATGGTTTTCCTACCTGTTAGCTCAGTTTAAGGCTAACTTTGTAAATAAAAATATTTTGAAATGTCTTAGTATTTTTAGTGTTTGATACTGATGAACAGTAAAGCAAGTATCTAGCTAAAAGCCAGGCTCCGGGAGAGGACAATTTTTTACTATGTTGTACATTTGATTCATTAAGGCACTGACAGGGTGTTTGATAAAAGGAATTGGGAACTGTTAAAAGGAATGTTAGATATTAAAAATATTATTACCAAAATTCATTTTAAGTTTAATGCCAACTATTATTTTTTTCTTTATTGTAGACTTTTGGAGATAAGTTACTGGGGCCAATGGCATGGATCATGCCGATTTCTGTAGCTTTATCAACCTTTGGTGGTGTGAATGGTCTTCTTCTGACAGGGTCAAGGTAGGTACAGTTTAGTAGCTGACCATAAATCCAGGCTCAGATTCGGAGAAATTTTCTGCAGTGGCGTGTCTAGGAGGTGCATGGGGAGGACCTCTCCAGCCGCCCCTACCGCCGCTGCCCACCCGATCCCCCCCGAAAAAATATTGTTCACCAGTTTCCCCCTCAAAGCAAACATTGTGGTCAAATAGTGAAAAATCACTTTATTGTGCAAGCTAGCGTCCCTCACTTAATCTTTGAGCCTGAAATACATTGCCACGTACTCAAGCTACTTGCACAGCGAGGGTTTTGAACACCCGACCTCAAGGTTGAGAGCTCGTGCCACAACCGTTGCTCTAACCACTTCCACAAACCCCTAGTTTCTCCCTCAAAGCAAAAAATCGTGCTCAAATAGTGGAAAATCACCTTATTTACAATCTAGCACCCCTCACTTAAATCATTGAGCCTGGAGTGCCTTGCCCAGGTACTAAAGCGACTTACACAGCAAGTGATTTGAACACCTGACCTCAAGCTTGAGAGCTTGTGCCACAAACGTTGCTCTAACCACTACACTTCCACAGATTCTGGATACAGTGTTTCACTTGTTTAAAAAAATAACCATAAACCTGAAAAAGTCATTTTAATTTTTAATGTTTTCTTTTCAGGATTTATTTTGTCGGAGCTCGTCAAGGTCATCTTCCCGATGCCATAGCTATGATTAGCGTAAAATATAAGACACCTACACCTTCTCTGGTTCTGACGGTAAGAGAAATTTGTTTGGCAAAATAATCCTAGGTTCTCTACTGAAGTTTAGAATCCTGAATTTCTATAATAAATAAAATAAACATAAATATTTTATTTGAATTTGATTTAATTAAATTTATTTGCATCTAATTACCATCTAATTTGCATATAATTACCATATCACTTTTAGTATTAAATTGTTTGAATCATTATTGTGATCATCATATCAACACCCATGGCCATCATCACCCACTTTATGTAACCACCATTATAACTATCATTATCAGCATCGTTGTATAATCACCGTCATCAACATTATTTGAGCATCATTATCTTCACAATCTTTGTATTATTACCGTTAACATCATTGTCGTCATTATCAGCATCTATCATTGTTGTTGACGTCACTGCCGTCATCATCATAATCACAATAATCATACGTCCTTATACATCATCATCATACATTGTAATCATCATCATCATTATCATACATGGATCTGGATCATTAATCGGTAAACCTCCTTTTGAAGAATCACACTGATTGGGTCAGAGTCATAGTCAATTGGGTTGCCAGGAAAGTGAAAATAATGTACATGATTGGGATTGAAAAACCACCAATTAAAAACAAAAATTAAAAACAAAAAAAAAAAGCAAAAAAAAAAAAAAAAAATTAAAAATCACTCCAAGAAATATCCTATAATAACCAATAAAGACAAGAGGCAAAGGATCCATTGAAACTGCTCCATTTGCCAGCAATTTGATACCCAATTGAGGGTTCTCTAGCTCACAACTCACAGGAGCTCTAGTAGCAATGGCATCTGACTAGCCTAACCAACAAAAACAAAAACACAAAAACAAAACATGACACAACATTAACAATTTATTTTTGCTGTAGGTGGTAAATAAGACGGTCCTTTAAAAAGTAACAAGCGACGGGGATTCAATGATTGATTAGTTTATTCCAATCTGCAATTGTCCTTGGAAGAAAAGAAAATCTGTAAATGTTTGATTTTGTACCAATGTGTTTGAATTTGTGTTTGTGGCGTCTGCTGCTCATGGGAAGGGCGGGGCTCAGCGAAAAAAATTCAATCATTCAGTATTTCCTTTTCATAAAATCATTTTTGGTAAAGCAGAATTTTACTTCCTAATGATTGAATTTAACAGTATATTTGTTGCCCGTTTGTTTTCAGTGCTTTCTTTCTCTAATGTACCTGTTGTCTCCCAACATTATAACACTGATCAACTACTTCAGTTTCGTTACTTGGACGGCGACAGGCACCTCCATCGCAGCTCTACTATACCTCCGCTGGAAAGAACCAAACATGCCTAGGCCCGTTGAGGTACAGTAGTTACAAAATAGGATTTGTTTTTTGTTACAGCGTTCAGTCAGGGCGGGCAAAGCAGTGGCATATCTAGGGGTACTGAAATAGGGAGTCTAATTTGTGGGGGTGGGAAGGAATGAAAGTGAAGTGGGAGGGGTGTATGATTCTGGTTGTTGTAAAACACATTTATAATTGCCAAAGATTTTAAAAAATCAGGCAATGAAACCAAAAACTGGTGACACTGTAAACATTAAGAAACAAAACCTGGTAAATGGTTTATTTCACAATAATATCCTTGTTTTCTTCAGAGGTGGATAGAAAATCTATAATATTCAAGATTGCAGCTTAGCTATATGGCTAAACTGGTGGTAGCCACTGTGTGTGCGTAAACCATGGCGGTCCCCGGTACAATTCCCATCACTTCTCTCCTTGATTTCTGCTGCAGGGCTGAAATGCAAGTGTCCTTCAGTTTTGGTCCCGTGTGCATTATGACCCATGTTTAAAGAACGCAGTACACTCTTTGGGTATATTGCCCAATCACCAGATTAAAGAACCCCACTGGAAACAAGTCTTCTTCAGACTTTCGTGGGTTATCCTCGCTGTTTACACCAAATAAATTCATTCATCCATAATGATCATAAAATGAATATTGATTGATATGATTGACATATACAGTGACCATAGCAATCTATGTTTACTCAACTGGAATGGTCTTTACTAACCAATTTGTGTTTTTGCCTTGTTGTCTCAACAGGTTAATTTGTTGCTACCAATATCATTCTTGCTAGCCTGTGTTTTCCTGGTGATCATGGGGATATATGCTGCTCCTATGGACACACTCATAGGAATAATAATCACTCTCTCGGGTGTACCTGTGTATTTACTGTTTGTTTACTATATCGATAAACTTCCTACATTCTGGAGGGATTTCGTCTGTGAGTATTATTTTATAATATGTTGCAGCTAATCCTGAAAATTGAATGCCTTGACTGGTACGCCAGCAGGCTAAAGATAAGATAATTTTTTTCAATTGGCATAATCAGTGAGCTGCAAGTTTGCAAAATTTATATGTAACTAGAGCAGTTATTCTAGAGAGTGCATTCATCCACCCTGTGCCTCAGTACAAAACCATACACAGGGCGTATACGATGGGTGATTCCATTATTTTCTGCCCTGTGCATAAATACCATCTTTCATCTTTCATTGAATATTATGTAACAAACATCCCACTAAATTTTATTATGAATCATTCATTAGTTTTTGCGTAATCTTGCAAATCAACAGACAGCGGCGAGTACATAACCTTCTTTGGCAGAGGTATTTAAATATGTGGCTGCATCAAGAGTATTTCGAGCCATGCAGTTACCACCAGACTAAATTAATAAAAATGATCATGAATAATGGCACTTTTTCCTCGCAAATTATCAAATGCCTTATTCTAAACCATTCAATTGTTAGGCGTGATTTACAAATTGTCCCCAACGACATAGAAACAGGGTTTGAAATCAGGGTTGGAAGGAGACTGGCAATTAATTTCTCTTATAAAACCTACAGGTAGGTACAGTAATGCCTACTAAAATATAAGAAACATTAGGGTTTCCTCAACAAGTAAAATGAATAAATTATAGTATAGGCCCTTAATTATAAACATTCCTTCATGATCTGTCATCCAGTGTAGGCCCTGCACTTTACTGTAATAGGCTACTACTTTAAATAGGCCTAAGCCTACATAGCCTGGTAGGTTCAACACGTTTTAAGCCACATTTATACTAGACATGAGATGATGACAACGACATCATCTCGTAGTTTATATTCTTCAATACAGTGCGAATTTGTATCATGTCGTCGTGTTGTAACCATGTCTAGTGTAAATGTGCCTTTAGAGTTACCACAATCTAATTCACATTCCACTAAACGCATTTAACATCCACAATTCAGGAGCAGTCAGCCATATGAATGAGGAAGAGTCAACTTCCAAATGGAATAAACAGCTCAGATGACAAGCTTCTAAACAGCATTTCACAGACGCGTTTGGATACTTTGTCATATAACAATAGGAAATGTATTTGACCAGTTTCTGTCGTTGGGGATAATTTGTAGATCGCGTATTACAAGCTACCTATACCTCTGGGTCTAGAAATTTCCCAAGGGTACAATCTAAATTTTCAGTATTATAATTTGAAGTCCCAGCAAGGGTCAGGTTAAACTTTCTTCAACAGACATGCATGAACCGCTACCATCTGATGCAACTTGACGTCATGGACTTCAAATATAAATTTTGTTAATCCAAAATAAAGCACCGTCTACACTAGCACTGTCTACACTATCAAATTGTGATGTGCCCATATATGGGCACAATAACATCATTTCACATAATTTAAAATTGTATGGGGAAAAAAAAGTTTTGACCAATAAGCAAACACTACAAATTTAAATTTAAATAATAACAAAACTTGGTAAAATAATAATATATAGTTTAGAAATATTGTGATAATATTTTTCATGATAATTGCAATAATGAATAATACAAAACTAATTAATGAAAAAGAAGTTTATATTTTTGAAATGATAAAATTGTAAATATATATTTCGATACTGTATGAATATATTTTTTAAATATTTAATTAATTTGTATTTTAAAGTTTTATTTTGTAGCCAATTAATTTTGTTTATTAATTCTGTTGTTGTTTATAATGTTTTGTTTGTTGAATGGATTTGATGTGTATTTGGTTTTCATGAGTTTTTCTTCTGCTTTTTGTACTTTTACTGTATACCTGAATAAATAAATAAATCTTGCAAATAGTCAGGTATCAAGTTAAATGTATTTTTTTTTCTTATTCCTCGCAGATAAGTGTACATTAGTAGCTCAGAAGTTATTTGTGGTTGTCAAGGAAGAGAAAGAAGATTGAAGAATTTTCCTTGGAAACCATATTTCTTCTTCAGGTTTTCACTTTCCTTTTTAATACTATGTTGCAGTTTCTGGAATTTTTATGCTTTAAAATGATTGCACAGACTTTACAATATTGACACTTTTGCATTTAATATTTCTTTTAAAATGCTATTTTGCTCTTATTTATTTTTAGCGGTTCACATTGTGTCCGGTGAATTTAATTTTACATCTTTTGAATATTCCAATGCAAATTGTATTAGACATTTTAGAAAATTAGGAATGATGAAGGGCGCCCTCAGTGGTCCAAAATATTTTTAAAAAATGCTTGAATACAATGTACAGTATTTGAAATTTGGGTTTAAAAAAATGGGCTTGGAGATTTATCTTTGCTGTTGAGTTTTCTTGCGAGCTAAATTTACAATCTTTCTTTTAAATATATAATTATCTATGGCAACGTAAGTGGTAGGATTTTGTGTGGTGTTTTTACCACTGATTTGAAAATAATGAAAATATGAATTAAAAATGATTACAATTATACAATCAAGGATACATCTTCTAAACAAATTAAATTATTTACTAAACACACACACACTTGCTATGCAATGGAACCAATCGCATGTGTAGTGTATACACAAGGTGTTAAAGGCATTCGCAATTATTTAAATTCCATGTGAGGTATACCATCCCCGATACTAGTATACTGTCGCTGAATGTTAAACTGAGTAATTATTGTAAGAATGTGGCATTAAAAGCTCAATTTGTGGAGAACATGAATATATTAAAAAAGTCAATTGTAAATTTTTGGCCACTGTTCCTGGTTTCGAGACAGCAAGCCTCGTATTATTGGCAACCGGGGTGTAATAGGCAATTTTATTATAATATTATCTAAATATTTATGAGTCAATGTATAAACAAAAATATTCTCTAAATATATTTTTTGTTATATGCTGGGATAAAACAAATGTACTTTATAATTCACATCTACATTATATCATAGCAGGTATACTGCAATCTTGTATGAGTTAATGGAGGTATAACGATGTATTTCTCCATGAGTGATTAGCATACTGTTTTGAAGATATCAATGCAATTTTTATGTATTTTTTTTTTCATTTGTTAATCATGTGTCTTCATTTTACATGTTGACATACTACACAAAGACCACTATAACTGTTTTTGTACATTTTTGTTTGAACTCATTCACTTTTTGGCTCCTATGTATTCAATGAATGTTGTGTGTGTGGGGTGTTTATGCTGGAGTTATGCACATACTATAATGATGCAAGAGGTGGTTAAACTGTGAACATATTGTGTGGAAAATGTAAGTATATTAGTGAATATTTTTGTGTTTTATGCATTTGCTTAAGTTATGCTTATTGTGCAGCTAAAGAATTTCTAGCTGCTGATTTTCACCCTGCAACACAAGACAGCTTTTGTATACTGTCTTGTTAGTTATTTTTTTTCCCTTTGAATTGTGTGTTTGGAGTATATAGAAGTTTGGGAGCATTTGGTGCAGCATTTACGGTGCGGGTCCTCAATATTGAGGTCGCTTTGTGTGAAAATTTTGTTTGTGTCCTTGGCATTTTACCAGTGGTGGTGCGTTATTTTGATTGGCAATCTCTAATATTGTGGTTTAAAGGCACAATTTAGACCATAATAAGCCATAAAAACTCACTATGTCAACTTTACAAGGAATTATTTATTCCTCGACACCAACCAAGGCTCTTGTCGGGCCCTTGGTTCGGACAATTCGAACCCCTCTGTCGGACAATTCGGACCCCTTGTCAGCAAATTTTTGGAGCCACCGCTACATTTTACATGTTCGTCTCAGTCAACTCAGGAGTAAAATTAGGTACCTGATAGTAAGCTGTGCCATTAAATGCTATTGTCTATGTATACTATCAAAGAACTTAAATAGCAGAAGAATGAGCTGATCGCTTAGTTTGCATTAAATTCGATGGAACATCCGCCCTCTCTAGAATGGAGGAAAATCATTTCATGGAGTGAACTAACTAATGAAAACAAACGAACCTGAGAGTTTTCCACCAATCCAACCAATCAAAGATATAGCGCCACCACTTGGATGGAGGAAAATTGCTGTCATGGACACCCTCATGAAGCGTTCCACTATATTGAGAACTGCTCTATCTTTCACTATTTATTATCTTTGATACTATGTATTTCAGCATGACAAGGAATTCTCCCCAGAGAACTGACAAAAGTTGCACTTTGTGACAGTCTAGTCATTATAGATCCAGAAACCAGGGATAATAAGAAATTAATGATAAACTTCAGTCTTGTATAGCCTTGAGCTGATTGAGACGTAATGATTCTATAGAAAACAAATGGTGTGAACTCTAAATAATGAAAACGAATTGATGGTTATGTCTAATTGTATTGTATGAAAGTGGAATAAAACAAGTTATTCAGGAATTCCCAATTTCTAAATTATGTCAAGATTGACAATAGGGAACTTTCGATTGCACGACGATGGTAAGACGTAGAACGACATTCCTAAAATTCATCTGCGCATGCGAGAACATTAAGGTCACCTCGTCGAGTACATTTTGGAACGCAATTTGGCCAAATCTACCTATGCAGAGAACGTAGGATGTCAGGTAGGACGGTCACGCATCAGTGATTCCGTTCTAGCGTTGCTTCGTCGCACAAATCGAAAGCTCCCGAATATATCAGCAAGTTGAGTGTTCACGCAGAGGTAGACCTATTTTAATACATGTTTTGTAATACTCATAGTGTTTATACGGTAAGCTAGGCATTACACCAACTTAATTTATTCAGTTTGAACACTCAACTTACTGATTATATTAGTAATATTATGATATATTATCAATAGCGATATGTATTTACTGTATTTAAACTTGTTATTTAATCTTTAGTACACTTTTCAAAATTAAGATTAAGAGGTAATGACTAAGTACTGTATGTATAATAATGTTGTATGCATCATACTTTTCTGACATTTATTTATGATTTATTGGATTGGATGTATTTATTAATTATGTTAATGAATGTGTAACTCATTGTAGGTGTAGTCATACATATTTTTGACATGATGAACTATCATTTGTTGCAGTGAATAATTTGTTGGAATTGTTAAAACTAGCCAAAGTTTGCTAACTTAAAGTAAATCCTGACAATGAATGTAAAATAGTTTTTGTTATTGATTATAAGCCTACATATTTTCATTGGCATCATTATGCTGGTGTTGTAACTGTAGTGTTTTCATTCCTTTATTTTAAACTTTTATCACTTTTACCATTGCTTATGATTCTTTTTAATTTGCATTTTGCATTCAATTGTGAAATTAGAGTGTGTGGTATATTTGATGTCAATCTGCTTAGAATGCAGAAGTTGCCAACTCTAATATTCCATGATCAGGAGATTGCAGCACCCCTGTGTGCATTCGAGCAATAAACAGAATCTGCATTCCTTATAATTTTGTAGAAAATAGCATAGAGTTACGAAGCATATTGCTAAACATTTGAGCAAATTGAGGTACTTGTGGGTACCACATTAACGGAGCTACTTTGTTATAAGCAGTTAAGTGGGCTCGTCAATGCAATTTAGAACACCTATCCCATCGACCCATTTTTTATTTGCATTTTGTACACCGGACCAATCGCAAACAAAATTGACCAGATGGTGACTCCCGACCAAACACATTGTCCTTAAACAATTTAAACGGAAAATGCACAGATTTTGTTTTGCTCGAACACGCCCTCAGTTTTTGATGCTGCGGGTGGGTTTTAATTTATCGCTAATACTATTAGTATGTGCATAATATTGTATTTGTTGTACCAACTATTTATGAAGTGCAAACTCTAATTTAATTTGCACTCTAAAACATTAGTACGAGAAGCTTTGCTTGGAGCATTGGGTTTAATAGATATTAAGGTTGGGTTGTGGTGTTTAAGGCTTGTTTTCTAGGCCTACACCATTTTTCCTGGATATTTTTATCAATACACAGTATTGTTTTTATTTTCATGGTGGATGACTTTACAATCAAGAAACATACCCAGGATATTTAGACATTGTGATTGAACTGTTTTTATTTTTTTCTGTTGGTGAATAATACATTCAGTTGACCTACTACAATGTTGTTTGTAGAATCAAAATTATGGATCGTGTTGTAAACGTAGATATACTGTAGCCTTAAAAAACGTTTATCTAGCAGGTTGTTTTGGTGTGTAATTGCATGGTAATGTAAACGTATATAGAATTTTCTTCTTCTGACTTCTTACAGTCAAAATTGTACTTCAAATGATTGGTAGGCTTGGGTGTGGTATCACAAAACAATGGAACTTTCGGCAGACCCGCCCTTTGGATACACGCTGCTAAAATCTCACAAACGACAAAGCAAGTGTACGCAAAGATGTGTGATTGTGGGACAATACGTATGTGCGTTTGTGAGAAGCGCGTATTCCTCCTGGCCCTGACCTGATTGGTCAGTAGTTAAGATTGATTCCTACTCTTAAAAGGTCCATTTAATGTGATGCATTATATTTATGACATTTTCATTGCGAAAAAGGGTGTTTATTTTGCAAATAAGTAAAATTATAGTAATCTTGTAGATTGAAATCAAATCAAAAATTTGAATTAAAATATCTTTTCGCCCTTCGATGAAGTTTTGCTTTTCGTTTGTTGATACGAATATGCTTGTTTGTAGCTTTAAAAGTTACGTTTCTGTATCATTCTTTCATTTTTTGCTTACTCAATCTTAAGATTTATAGATTTAAATAACAACTAGTCATCATTAGTCATTATCATAAAGAAGGCCTAAAAAGATTTTTTTGCCCTTTGCTCTCCTCCACCGGCTTGAAAATGTAGGGGCGGCGTTTTAGAAAAACAATTTTTTTGGAAAAAGAAAAAAAATAGGTCATCAACCCTGCAGGAGGCACGGTGATGACCTATTCCTAGCCTGCGAAAAGAACTGAGATGCACACGGTCCAGTTGGCTTACCTGTAATCCTAGTACAGATAGACATGCAGGATCAGAAAAAAACAAATATTCGCATATGGCAACAGGGTGCTACCTGACACTGAAAGTAGATACTTTCAGACGGAACAATAAGCTCTCGCACTGGTATGGACAGTAAAATACTTCATTTATACTTCTTTCGAAATCCTTTTGTGGCACTGATACAGATCACAAACCATTCAAAAGAATTACGAAAAACCAAAAGTAAGAGCAACAGTGGAGAGATAAAGGAAACCACCCTACAATCTTGAAAACAAATACATAATTGGAAGTAAGAATCTGGCTGATATTCTGTCTCGCCAATCTATGCAAAACAAAGATGGATGTAACAGTACAAAAGTAGCAGACGAGTGTGTCATCTTCATAGTCAACCACACAGTACCAAAAGCCATGACCAAAGAAGAAATCCAACTGACGACTGAAAATGATCCAATGGTGCAATGGGTGACTGAACAAATCAAAGATGAAAAGTGGTCACAACAAATAACAGATGAGAACACTAACTCATCATTAAAAAGTCTTTTCAAATGAAAAATCAGCTGGTCCTGGTTTCTTTTACATCGAAATTAATTAGAATTAACTTGTAATGAGTTGTTATATGGAGCAGAACATCATACAACGGACTCTATTGAGTTTTATTCAGTATGGTCTTACTCACCATCTTTATTTATCTGCCTTTCTGACCCAGAGGGCTCACTCTCCAGATTGCATACTACAATCAACATATCTTCCTTCCTATAAGGATAAACACAAATCCAACATAACATTTATTTGTTTTTCTAATTAAACTGATAACATAAATACTAAATTTTGAACAAACCCCATCAAAAACACCAAAGGGATTGTTCTGCAAGATAATAAAAAAAGGAACAATGATAATAACAACAAAATACATGGTCCTTACTTAAAACTAATGCCATGTCATTCATTCACAATAAGAGTGATCTATGTAGTGTAATCATTGTTAAAGTATTTACGATTTGGCTTCCAATCGCGTTTACTACGTCGTGGGACATTTATATCTTCTGCATGAGTATTATCTCTATCGCCATCATTATCAAAATTATTATTTACATTGGCTTGTAAATGGACTTCTTCATCTCTGGTCTTTCACAAGGTACAGATGAATAGTTTGGTAAAATGTCGGTATTGTACCCAGGTTCTCTCCATATCATTTGTCTGTTGACAAAGATATGAGCGATTTGATAGTATGAATTTTATCCATCCAGTTTGAGACCACGTATTCTTTAAAGTGTCCCATAGTCTAACTCGTGTTCCAACTGCCAACTCTGGTAAAGCATGTGAACCTACTCGCTTCATATGATACTTCTGCTGCTTTTTCTTTACCCCGCTCTTCCTTGCTACGAATGCTTTCGTGTCGAGTTGCTGGAACTAGTTTAACAAGTTATCTGCCATTGGCAAGTTCGTTTTCATCTTCCTGTTGTAGAGTAGCTCTGCTGGAGATTTTCCACATTCAAGAGGGGTGCTACGGTATATTTGCAGGGCCTTCATGATATCTTGATTGCTGTAAACTGCTTTTTTGATCAAATTTTTTACTATCTTTACTGCTCCTTCAGCCAGTCCATTGGATTGGGGGTAGTGAGGACTAGAAGTCGTATGAACAAAGACCCAATCAGCTGCAAAGTGCCTGAATTCAGCACTGTTAAATTGAGGCCCGTTATCGGTCATCAATTCAATAGGTGTTCCCTGTCTTGCAAACACAGACTTTATCTTACTTATCACTGCTGCACTAGCTGTGCTGTGCAGCATGCAAACCTCGATAAATTGCGAAAAGTAATCTACAATGACTAAATATTCCCTTCCATTAACTGTACAAATGTCTGCCCCAAGTTTTTCCCATGGACGATTTGGGGTTTGGTGGGGCTGAAGTGGCTCTGCCATTTGTCGTCTCTGGTATGTTAAGCATGAGTTACAATTGTTTACCACATTAGCTATATCTTGATTTATACGCGGCCAACACACTACTTCTCTTGCTCTCCGCTTACACTTTTCAATACCGAGATGACCTACATGTATTTTCTGCAATATTCTTTTACGTAGTGAAGCTGGGATGATTATTCTATTTCCATTAAAAAGCAAGCCATCAGATTCTGACAACTCTTCCCGCACTGTCCAATATTCTTGTAGATTATCAGGACAATCTTTCTTTTCATTCTTTAAGTCGTATCGTTGAACTCTCAATGGACAATCACACAGGGACTTTTTGAACAATGGAATCAGGGGTTTGTCATCAGTTTCCACTTCTATATGTTGTCCATATATGTACTGATGAAATCGTTCACACGCATAGACTATGGCTAGCAGTTCCTTTTCAATTTGGGCATATCTGGTGTCTGCTTCCGACATTGCCCTTGAAGCATACGCCACAGGAGCCCATGTTCCGTTATACTGTTGTAAGAGTAAGGCACCTAGACCATCCCGTGAAGCATCTGAAGAGACTTTAATAGACTTTGTTGGGTCATAGAAACGCAAAACTGGCTCTGTGACAAGAGCTACTATTAGCAGCTGCCAAGCTTTTTCTTGTGCATCTTGCCACATCCATTGATTTCTTTTGTCAAGTAAGCTTCGAAGTGGTGCTGATTTTGAAGGTAGGTCTGGGATAAACTTACCCATGTAGTTCAGCATTCCCAAAAATCTCTGTACATCTGTCTTGTTCTGTGGTCTTCCCATGTTCTGTATAGCTGATATTTTCTGTGGGTCAGACTGAACTCCTTGATCACTAATGACATCACCAATGAAGGTTAACTTTCTCACTCCAAATTCACACTTTGCTCTATTGAGTTTTAGGTTGTTATTTTTCACTATGTCCAAAACCTGTTCAGCTTCAGTTGATCCCCATACTATAATGTCGTCCATCATAGTGTTTATACCAGGAATCTGCAAACAGATTATGAACCAATTTGTGATATACCTCTGGAGCACTGCTGATTCCAAAAGGTAGGTGCAAAAATCTGTACCTACCAAATGGAGTGATGAAAGTGCATAACTTGGAGCTATCTTCATCCAGTTGGATTTGCCAAAATCCACTTGATGCGTCAAGTTTACTAAATATTTTTGCTCCTGAAAACTGTGCAGTAATTTCTGCCCTTGAAGGCAACTTTTAGTGATCCCTCTTGATTGCTCTATTCATATCCCTTGGATCCAAACACACACGTAGTTTCCCATTCTTTTTATCTACTATAACCAATAATGAAACCCAATCAGTCAGCTCAGTTACCTTTTTTATGACTCCCTGAGTCTCCATTTTTTGCAACTTAGCTTTAAGCTTTGGATGTATAGGAAATGGCACCTTTCGACATGCATGTTGAACTGGTATCTGGTCCTTGTTGATTGTGATGTGATGATGTCCAGGCAGGCAGCCTTGTCCTGTGAAAAGTTCATGATAATCAGTGTCAATGTTAGTGCTATATATTCTCTTAATAAGGTTCAATCTCTCGCATGTTGGTAGTCCAATTATAGGCTGCACTTTTTCTGGCAACACCTGAAACTCGAATGTCATGATATACGCCTTTATATTCACACACTATAATGCACTTGCCAATATGCTTCATACAGTTCTTGAAATAGGAGACAAGTCTGGCATTTGACTTTTTCAGATCTGCGCCTAGTTTGTCAAACACATTTGGGCAATATATTACACTGTGCCCCTGAATCTAACTTGAACCTAACAGTTCTATTTTGTACCTGAAGGTTGAACATCTACAAAATATTCATCATCGGTATTAGTGTCTGCTTCAACGATCTCATCTACTGTTGATTTACTTCTACAAAACTTTGCCCAATGGTTTTTCCCTTTACACCGGGAGCAAGTTGTCCCCCATGCAGGACATGCCCGCATGGCATTTAGTTTACCGCATCGCTTACAGGTTATTTCTGATTTTTGCCGAGGCGGTGTTTTTTTCTTCACTACTTGTACATCAATTGCTGTTTGTGCACTTATGGCGCTCAAGCTTTTCTTAGACATCTCTACATTGTGCCCTATTTTTATCGCTTTGTCTAGGGTGAGGTCATCCTCTTCCTCTAAACATTTTTCTTGTACTTTCGGGTCTTTAGCCCTCATCACTATTGCATTACACAGCATGCGTTGCATGTCTGTATAGTTGCAGTAAGCAACCAAAACCCTAAGGTCGGTGACAACGTTATCAAAACTTTCCTCCCCATTTTGGAATCTGCTATTGAATTCCACTGTGGATTTTATTTCTTTGCGCTTTGGGGCGACATACCTTTCAAATTTCTTATACACACCCTCAAGCAGCTCATTCTTGGCTGGTACGGCTGGGCTATTTTCGGTAGCTTCTTTTGCCGGTTCCCATTGGAAGGTGTGGTAGATTTCTCTTCCTCTATCCCCTATAAATGTCATAAGGTAGTTGACCTTCAGAACCTCTGACTTGTCGCTAAGGGGACCATTGAACATAAACACGCAATGTGGCGTGATGTCTAAGGTACGCACCAAATGTTGTAAACTTGATACCTTCAAGTGCTTTGAGACTGCAGTAATTTCAACATTCACTTTGATAAACCTGATAATCCACACACTAAATATATTATGGGAACATTAGAGTCTACCAATTTATTCCAGCTAATACGTGAACCTACACAACGACATGGACACATTTTAGATC